AAGCCCTTCATCCCCCAGCTTGTATCGATACCAGGGTTGTCCCAATCCAGGTGCAGGACCTTGGCTTTGTTGAACTCCATGAGGTTCACACGCGCCCATTTTTCAAGCCTGTCAAGGTCCCTCTGGATGGCATCCCTTCCTTCTAGTGCATCGACTGCAGCACGCAGCTTGGTGTCGTCAGCAAACTTGCTGAGGGTGCACTCGATCCGACTGTTCGTGTTGCCGACAAAGATGTTGAACAGCATCAATCCCAATACTGACCCCAGAGGAATGCCACTTGTCACTGATGTCCATTTGGACGTTGAGCCATTGACCACAACTCTTTGTAATGCTTTGGCATTTATATGGATATTGTAGTGGTGTAATAATTATGGGTATTAGTTCTGTATTAGCAGTTCTGGTGTAGGACTTAGGCTATTTAAGGACCTAGTTAAAACTTTTGTGTATACCAATCAAGTTAACCATTGAGCCTCTTATTTTGGTACTGATGAATACAAAGTTTGAACTCAGAAGCCTCTTCTGACCACTGAAATGTTGCATAGCTCGCATATGGGTGTGTACCATAGCAGGTAAATTGATCAGGAAGTGTGTTTTTTCATTAGTTGACAGCACCTGGACCACTAACAATATGCTGTGGTTTTCTGTGTCTTGAAGGATAAAGTGGATTGTCTTAATATAACTAGAAACTTAGTTGATGGCGAGAGTGAAATGTTCTGAAACTATTATTGGGAAGCACTGTATGACAATTTGCTGAGCATCCAAGTTGAATCATCAGCATAAGTTCTTAATGACCTACCTCCTTGCTCAACACTGTAGCCTTTTAGGAAAAAGGGAGAAAAATATGAAAGCATTTCCATTCTTCAAATTTTGCTGAATTGTAATACTTCATTGTCATATATGGTTTAAATAAGCAGCCAAAGTGTGTACCTTTCTTTTATTTATTTTTTTTTTTCCTTTATACCTCATAAATAAAGTTGAAATGCCATGTGTTGGCTGTGCTGGCTGTTACACCAATTAATAATTTGCCATACAACCCTGTTTTCAATAATTTATTTCTTTGGACTTCAGCTGTTCAGGATGTAGTTTTCTACCAGTTTTCTGGGTGCCTGTCCCAGACTGAAGTTTTAGAAGTTACTGTTCTTGAGAATGAGGTGGAGGAAAACTGCTTTTCACCTGGCTAAATACCTAATAGTATCTGAATTGAGTGGCTGTTACTCTTTCTGTGGTTTGTAGTAAGGACTTGAAATCTACAAGGAATTCTCAAGAGTGTTCCTTATATTCAAGATAATCCAGCTAAACAAAGTTTTCAGCCTTCGAAATTCCAAACTCGGATGGTTCTATTTGATCCTTCAACTGCTGCGGTGCAGGTGACAGCACTGCAGAAAGGTAAATGGATGTCATTGTACCTCTCTGGCAAGTAGGAACTTTAGTTTTGTCCGGAGAATGAAGAATTGTGATTCAGGAGAATAAGAAAAGGATTAATAGTCCTTTCTTGCAGGTTGCTGTTATCTGGGGAATGACTGAGGGCTTAAATCTGCCTTCATATATCCATTGCAGAGTCTCCCTGAAATTAGTGTAGTGGTTTTCAAAGTAAAAGCTACCAGTCAGTGTAAGATTCAGGGACAAAATTAAGAACAAATTAATGTAAGTAAAGAACTGGATTATTTGTACTTTTGTTTGTTTAATTAGTAACACTACTAAAGGATATTTGTGATGTTTCAGTATTGATCTAAGTGGAAGCCTCTGATAGCACCTGGAATAGGGCATTATTTTAATTGGAAAGCAGAAAAAAACCCTTGTGTTGAAGATTACCGCTTTTACAGGGGCACATTGGCAACCAGCAGAGATGGAAAAGTTCTGTCACCTTATTCAGGCATGGAGAGGTCAGTGTGAGATCTGTAATGGTTTGACAATTTTGAGGAATAATTATCTGTTACAACATCCTATATCCTTTTGTTACAGAAGCAACGTTCAGTAGTCGTTAAGCAGCATAGATTAATGTATATGGTCACTTTAATATTTTTCCTTTTTTTAAAGCTATGGAGTTTCTAAATCAGATCATACTGCTTGTATGTACTGTACTGTTTGTATTTGCTAGGTTTGTTTATATCCAGATTGACAGTGGTAATTAGTCACAGCATCAATTAGTCATTCATAATGTTGCTCTGGGGGAAGTGGGAGCTGCCTTTTGGAGTATACAGTAAACCTATCCCCTCTCCCCCACCAAATTGTGTCTTTGTGATAAATTAATACAGTCAAAGAATGAGTTTAGGTGTATGACAAACCTCTTAGATCCTAGACAGGCCTGTGAGATTACACTGTGAGAGATGTAAGATTTTTATAGCTGTATGTTATTCAGAGAAGTAAGCGAACACCAATAGATGGTTCTGGCCTGCTCTTCAAATTGAGGGATTTTGGGGAAAATATTTCTCTCCTCACCATTCTTCCACTCTTTTTGAAATATGTGTTCCTGAATTTGCAGAAAGGAGACATCCCTCAAGGCAGTTGATGCAGGAAATTCAGATGGGAGGGTATGAATTTCTAGAAAAGACTAGAGGCCAATTTCAGACTGTACTTGATCTACCCAATAAAATTTCACATGCACCTATTCTGTATGGTAGTCTTTCTGAAATAAAAGAATTGAAGAAAGTTGCTTTTGAATTACACATCCTGAAAGTATTGATCTTTAAGGCTGAGGCTGTGTGTGGTTTGAATTTTAATGTTCCTTTTTCTCTTTCTAGCTGGAATGCTTGGTGCTTTCCCTACAGGATTATAAGCTTTGATATTCAGAAGAGCAAAACTGAAAGATGCCATCTGAGAGGTGCTTGAGGTATAGTACTTGGTAGCGTGTAGGAAGTCATTCACATTTAGGATGATGTTTACCAAAGCATCAGTTAACAGAGAGTAGAAAAGTGAAACTAATATTTTTGCCAACTAGATAGTCATTCACATTATTAAATACATATCCATGTTATAATCTGCAAAATACTACTTTCTTGTTGCTACTTATTTCTAGCAAAGAGAAGCGTGTCTGGGATTGATTTGGGACCCACAGTCTCTTTGTATGTTATCTCGTTTATGCCTTTGTCTATACTTGCAATTTTTGATTGTGGAAGCAGCTGACATTTTACATTCGTGCATCTGAATTGGTGGCTGGTGATCGTTTTTTGGTGTGTGTAGTGTTCCACTATTCAAGACATATATTAGTTTTCCAGTTCTTTGAAATGGCTTCAAAGCATTCTCTCCAGACTCATCTTCCTGCCTTCGAGAATGTCCCATTCTGTCTCTTTCTCTCTTACAGAGTCTTAATCATCTTTATGTACTTGCCAGTCTAGCTTTTCTCGTTTATTTGTATTGCCCATTGTCTCATCAGAGAATTTGATATTTAGAATTTAACTAGTTTCTGGGAGCACTTTCCAGCAGAACACTCAGTAGAATTTATTAATCTAGTTGCTTTTCCTCAGAACCTTGCACTAGTCTGATATGCTGCTAGTTGTTCTGTTTTACACAATAGTTAACACTTGTGGGCTGATCTGGGAGCTCAGAGGTCTAAGTCTTGTTACAGGGACATTGTATCATTCCAGTTCTGTTCCCTTTTCCCTGCTACGCTTCTGCAGCAGAAGACAATCAGGAAATCCTTGCATTTTATAGCTGTTGAGTGTATCAACGGACAGTATCGCTACAAAGTGGCCATATTATGTTTAACGAATCAGTGCTTTTTCATTCATAAATTCCAGTTAAATTGTCTTGCATGTGTATACATTCTTCATATGTTGTTAGCACAAGGGCTACAGGCAATTAATTTTTCACTTTTGTCATTGAATTGAAAAAAAAAGGATTATGATAAAGCTCAATTTAAAACTACAGATGCCTGATTTTATGTGCAGACACACACACAAACATATATATATATATAAAAATTTTCCCACAAAAATTACCCTTTTGCCTTGTACCTCTGATCTGTTTTCTGTTGAGTGAAACACAAACAAGAAAAGGACTTCTTTTCCACGAGAAAAGAACTTTCACCTCTGGATGATGGTGAAAAAAGCAAGAGGAATGGTGGTCTTGGTTCACAGCATTGGGAGAGAGGCTAGTAATAAAAACAGAAATAAAGAGAAACCATCTCTAGGCTTATTATACTTGCACAGAATGTATTCCAATTTTTTAACATTCTCGTTTCCCTTAGGAAAAAATGATGACAACAACAACAACAAAAAATAAACAAAAAAGCCCTAATTCTTCCCCCACCCCCCCTCAACCCTGAAGCCCTAGTGTTCGTCCAGGTTCTTAAGGGGAAACCAGGGTGAGCACACTGTACGCTGCAGTTCTCCAGGAATCAGTAACAAAAGTGATGGTTAACCTTTGATTTCAGATTCTTTATTGCTATTGATGAAGGCTGGAGAAAAAATAGTTTTATAAGTTTATTTTTAATACAGCAAGTTGAAGCTGTAGCATTGCCTGCCAAAAGCAATACATCTTGGTTTGATTTAGTCACTTTGCTATAGAAATTACAGAAGGGAAATAATTGTTAGAAATTATTCCCTTGTATTTTAACAAGTTACATTTCTTGATAATTGTCATTTAGAGTATCAGTGGGGTTCCACAGACAGAAGAGCTGAAGGAAGAGGAATCATTTCAATGAATCATTTTAAAATGTGTGTAGGGTATGTCCATGTGTGAAACCTGAACTATTAGAGAATGAGTGGAACTCAGATGCAGGTTATTCTCATGTAATTCCACTTTGGCCATCCTTCTTCTAGAAGTAATGTCTTAGTTCTTGTCTGTTAAAAGATTAGTTTGGATTACAGCCAACAGTCTGCAAAGCAGGTCTGCATTAGTTTACTGTAGATGCCCAAGGTGCAGGAGTGGGATAGGCAGTATGGAGAGTGTGTGTTGATGGGAAAGGAGAGTATAGCAGCCACACAGCTGCTGCGTAGCATGTGTGAATCACATGATTGTAGTAGAAAGATAACTCATTTACCCTTTAAAAATAAAAAAAAAACAAATTATACCTTCACTTTGATTTGCTCAGGAATGACTCTCTGAAAACTCACCTTCTATAAAGACCTAGATTCTTGGGCAATATAAATTGGTACAGTCTCACAGATTTCAAATAAATTGCATTGTTTTGTGCCAAAGAAGATTTGCAGATGTGTTTGATTTGTTTCTGTTTGCATCAACAATTATATTATCTCTTCCTTCTGCTGTAGAAAAGGAAGCTGAAATCAAACAGTCCTAGGCTGGATGACATGGAAATCTTGTATTCATACAAGGAGATATTCAGAGGTGTGGAAGACCTTAGCATTTTAAAAACAAGCAAATGTTCCCTCCGCCCCAATACAAAACAAACAAACCCCACAAGACTTCATCAATATGAATGACCTGAAATGGTCTGAAAACATTCAGTAATGCAGTATCAGACTTAAACAGGTCACCTGAGACCATGAGTCTTTATTCTTTTTAGTATGACTAGTTACATACATATATACATGCTCCTTTCCACTAATGCATTGGTTTGAGCTACTTAAATTTTTCTGTTGCACCATTGACCTAGGCCATTTATTCTTCTCACTTAATTCTAAAATGATTCTGAATTAATCCTGTGAGTCCAACTGACTTGCAGTGCAGCAAATAAAAATCAGAACACTTGAAGTTTTAAAATTTGAGTATGTAATCAGGTTTCATAATACTTTGTTATACTGAGCTTTTCTTGTGATGTCTATACCATATAAAGATTTTTGTCTGACAGGGTTCATGACTTTTTTTTCTTTCCAATAATTATCAATCAATCTTGTCTTAGAAAAAGTTCTTCTGCATTTCTGACAGAATCTGCTTGTTTCCTACATTTTTTTTGACAAAATCTTTCCCCTTTCCCCTCTCAGCGTTCAGGAAATGCTGACAGGTCAGAGGCTTTGTCAGTCCAGCTCCCATAATGATGCTGTCCTGGCAGCCCTGAACCAACAAAGAAGTGATGGCATACTTTGCGATATCACCCTTATTGCGGAAGAGCAGAAATTCCATGCACATAAAGCAGTCCTGGCAGCCTGCAGTGACTACTTCCGAGTAAGTCCAAAGATTTTTGTCTTTTCTTATAATATTAAAAATAACCTTGAGGGGGGATGACAGACAGGGATGGTTATAGATATTATACTGAACCAGGCTTTAAATTTGAGTCTACAGAAAATTCAGGATTATTGCATATTCAGTAGAGTATATAACTATAATATCCACATACATGTCATAGGAAAGAAATGTTAAGAATGTAATTAAGTTTTATATGATTATTTATGAGTAGTCTTCCTTCCCTCTGCCCCAATAGAGATAGGCAGTATATGTCTTTCTATGAATCTTATGCCCCAGTAAAGTCAGAAAGTGGAAGATATTCTGTAGAACCCAGACATTTGAGACAGCTGTGATTAGAGCATAGAAGGATGGGGAGAGGGAATTTAAATATTAATAAATGCAATTTAAGTCAGCTTGAGAATGGACTTTTGTAGGGATGTAAATGGTTATTCTCAAAGAGGAGGCCATAGCAATTTTTAAAGCATAATAAAACTTTATTTTTCAGAAACAAGTGTTTCTGAAATGTAAAGATTAAAATATTTGCAAGGAAATCTAAGTCAGATACTCAGCATGGAAAATTGAACCCGGGTGCTAAAATTGGAGTAAGGGAAAAATTGAGTTTTCTAATAGGAAGAACATTTTTCATATGAAACAATTCTACTAACCTTCATTATAATGTACCTGTTTGAAACACCGGACTGTCTGTAACTCTTCAGTTGACTGGTGGTTTTAAGTGTGAGTCATCCTGTTGTTATTCAGAGACTAATGCTGAAATTAAATTAAAGGTCTGTTTTCTCTAACAAAGTAAGTTTGTTTAATATTTTGCCTATACGGTAATTTTAGTGCTAAGAACTTCTTTATGGTGACCTTTTTGATTTGTTACAATAGTAACACAGTGTATGACAACTGTTTTATATCCTTAATTACCTGAGCAGAAGTTTTATCTTCCTGTCAACTCTGTGCCTGTCTTTTGGTTAGAACTGAGATTTAATTTATTCTGTGTATTTATGAAATATGGTTAACCTTGATGTTACTTTCACTATGATGATGTTGAGCCAATTGATTGTTCATTTTTTTGAGCTTGTTTGCATGCTTATGTGTTCTGCTACCACAGACTTTGTACTGCCATAGCTAACATTGCTTTGTCATAGTGCCCTGGCCTGCTGTAACACAGATTGCTTACCACTTTTTTTTTTTTTTCTTCCCCTTTTACTCCAGTGCACAGAGAGGGATTTTTGAGCTCTCTAGCTCTAGCAAGTACTATATATACTTGTTGATGACAGATATACTACAGGGCTGCTGTTCTGGTTTGATTAAAATATTTTAATAAGAATGCTGTATCATTCCTCCATACCTGTGACATAGATTCCTTTCAGTGCTGATTGTACCCAGGACATAGAAAGATCGTAGAGTGGGCAGCTGTACTCAGTGTTCAAGCAGTGTGGTAGGACCAGCTTCTACCTTGGTCACTTATTGATTGACCTTGAGACTTAGAGCGCTGTGACTCACCCTGTTATTTCCAATTGAGTTACTTGGTATTTGCTGGACAGTTATTGAAAATTAAAATCTTAGTGCCCTATGGAAAAGGAAGAAACCCCAAGTTCTTCAATAGATCAAATTCCTAATTGTTGCTTACCACTTTTCTATTAAAAAAAATACTGAGGGGGTGATCTATGCAGCATTTAGTAAATTGATCTGCCTCAAAATTGTTACAATTTGGTAGGACGTGTTATTCAGACTTTAGGTATCAGCTATAAATATGGAACTTGTGCTTTCTGAAATCAGCAAAAGAGTTTCTGTTATTAATGGACAAAAAGCTTTGTTAGAAAATTGTGAAATGAGATTTATGTTCTGTAGGAAGACGGCAAAAAAGTTACCATATACTACCTTCCTGACTTGAATAGTTTAGAAAAAGCAAGAGTTGATTAAAAAGTAATAATGTTTTGTATTTAAACTGAGATTATTAATGTTTTTCTTTCTAGGGGGATTTTGCCTAATTTGAGCTACCCAAATATTCATTTTCTAAGATTTAGGAGGATGATTCCAAGCTTCATTCAGAGTCAGTGAAGAGAAATGGGCATTTCCAGAGGATGATAAAGGGGGACAGAAGATTTATTTAGAATTAAATGATTCACCATCTGGAAGTGCCAGATCTCTCTCCACTGGTCATAAAGACTAGACTCACATGCTTCAGACTTAGCTGTTAATATTACATAAGATTATTTCTACCTTTAGTTTTTCCTAGATTATTTTCTTGGAGGAATTCTTGGAAGAACTGTGCAGATTTTCTGACCCTGAAGAAGTCATTGCCATGAGAAACTCACATTTCACTAATTTTTGTGGAATTTTTTTTTCCATGTAAGTGCAGGACTGCAGTGGAGGGGATTCTGGGAACATCAGATGTTGGAGTTGCCATGAATAGAGCTGAGATGACAACACTCTACATCGGTGTGACACAAAGAACTTGCCTGGCCTAGTTTCTGGTTTCTATGGCTTGTACATTTGATTAATACGCCAACCTACCTTCAACTCTATCTGGAGAGGCTGACATCCGATCCTTATAATCTCATAGATTACTCAAGAAATATGTTCAATTCTACAGAGGGCTCTATCAGAATGAATCAGCATGATTTTTTTGTTGTTGATTTTTCTCTTTTTTGCCACTCTTGTAAAACAGCTTGTACAAGAGACTGGATACTTGCTTTCTACAGAGCCCTCTTAGGGTTTTCTGTGTTCTTTGTCTACTTTGATTTAGATGGACCTATTTCTGAAATTGTAGTGTTTTGATGAGAATAACAAGTCAGATGAGCAGCATATTTTTTTCAAATTGCCACTTATTTCTTTCTCTTACTGCAAAGAAAAGTTTGTTAATGCTGTAGAAAGATAACTACATGTGTGTAATGTTATAGACTGAGGGAATCAGAGCCATTGTATGTGGAAGAGTGGAGAAGTTTAAACAGAAGTTGCCTTACCAATTTTTCTTTGAGGTTATAGTCTGGAGTAAAATCTTCATCTGCTTTTTCTAAGACAAGCCAGAGATCCAAGCTTCAGCAAGATACTAAAGGCCAGCCTTCTGAGGTAGCAGCCTTGCATCCCTTCTTCCAGGTGGTATAGTTAGTCTTGTATTTCTAGTTGTGCTGAAACATTGGAATTTAAATCCAAAGCAATTTGTTTTCTGTTCAGTATCTCCTGAAGGACCTCTTCTTTCAAAATGAGCTAAGGAATACATTAGTCAGCTCCATACCCTAAAAGACTCATATAAAGAATAGTAAACGTAAGTATTTTTATGAATTCTTTTTAAAGTAACAAACAGCATTTTAGGCAAACTTTTCCGTATGACATGGTGTAATTTGCTATTTGTCTTAGTCTATTGCAGTGAGGCAAGGCAGTTGATTTAGTGAGTATGTGTGCATTGTGATAGCTCTAGCAAGCGAAGTGATTTCCAATTAAAAGATTCTTTTTCTTTTGTCCCCTTGGGGAGCAAACTGAAATGAAATGTTACTGCATGACTTCATTAGTAGGCATTTACAGTGTTGGCAGGTGATTATATAACCTCAAGATTTTCTTGTACAAAGTGCATCATTTTTCCAGTCAGAACAACTCCTTTCTTCTTCCTTATTTTTCATATGAGTGGGTTTATAGTCACAGGACTCTGATCTTTCTCAAAAAGATGCAGATTTCCCATGTAATCTGGATGTACAGAATTATATCAATTAACTAGAATAGATTTTAAAATGTCAGTATTAATCAAATTTTTTCCACAATGAGCATGTTAAATTCTTAAAAGAATCTTTCTTCTCTGAAATGAACTAGTAGATGTTAATTTTGCATACAGACTTTGTACTTAAAACTGTCACAGTTGATTGTTAAGCAGTTTATTTTCAGGGTTTTTCTGTCCAGTCTTTCCTCCCTGTCAACAGATAATTTCTTCGTGTGTAGACAACATTGCTGATCATTCGTATTTTGCAATATATTGCATTGTTTCTTGATAAGATTAGAGAATTTTTATAAACAAATCCCTGAGGTGTGAAAGACTGTATGATGCAAAGAGCTTCTGAGTTCTTGTTATATGAATCATAAAGAGGAAAAGGCTCTCCCTAGCATGTCTTAGGGACAGATCTAAGGACCTAGTTCTGAGGAATCAGGATTACCTGCTGCTTTTGCAGTATGTTGTAATTTTGTTTTTTCAGTAATTTACTATTGTATGTGTACCAAACGAGTGATACTTTCCTTGCTGTTGTATTCTGGAAGTGATGCCAGTTAGAAATTGTCTTTCCAGATAACGTTTAAAAATGTTAGCTCTTTCCATTGGACTGAATCAACTCCATTCTTCTAATAGCATCTAGTCATTACTGAGACTTGTGTCAAAAGAGGCTCTTTTAGCTTCCTGTGTAGGTTGAGAAATACTTTGTCTTCTTATATGTCTAAACTTTTCCTGGGATCATTTTAATTTCATTTTCTCAGTTGGAAATTATGATATATTTGAGAAACTAAACTATTTCATCTGAGTTAATTGCCTAACACAGCTTTGGTAGATTTCGGTCACACAGATTCATTGTATCATCTAACATTGTTTCTAAACTAATGCTTTTTTTTTTCCATTTTTCCCAAGCATATAGAATCATTGCTTTTGTTAAATGTTGTATATGCGTTTTTTTAAATAATTAGTGTGGGTTTTTCAACTCAAATCATTCAAAGTATTTCCTTTATAAGGATATTACCTGCTTGTAACAATTACCTAGCTGGTAACGTGAAGTGAATTCCCATATGCCTGTTCTGCACCCAAAAGCAGTGTTTCAATGAATTTGAAACATGAAGTTCTAAGTTTGACCAATCTTTGTGAACAAGATAACAAAAAGAAGGAAATGCAATTAACAACAGATTCTGCTTCAATGGATGGAACAGGTGGACTCTGTTGTTCAGTTGCATCTCCTCCTTGTAAGTAGAATTCACAAATTGAGAACAATGTTTGGAATGGATTTTGCTTTTGGTGACTTCTG